CCTCTTTCGTCTTTTATGAATTATCAGTGGACAAACTCTAAAATGGGCATTTTAGTTTGCTTTTAGTAAAAAGAGGCCTACATCCAAAACAATCTCCATATTGAAAACTTTGTGGCAATCTGACCCATATAAAGGCCCACAGCACAAAACTAAATAAGGTCCAAGGAAAAACTGCTGTCATTTATGCTCTTTTTTTTTTTTCCCTTTACTATACTACTTCTTGAAGAAGGTATTTTTGTTTTAATTTTAATTTTAATTTTATTGAAATTAATGTGGTTTTGAAACTTTGGATTTAAGAACGTTTTTAAAAATGTTTAAAAAAAGTTTCACTATTAACTTTTTATGATTTTGTAGTTGAAAAATGCATATTTTGTTAATCAAACGGTAAAATAATTTATAATAAAAGCACAAATATTCCATAATCTCAAATAGAATTTGAGTGGAAGGAAAATCATTATTTATTTCTAGGCCGAATTAGTAAATTCATAAAATTAGCATAAGCACTAAAAGTCACGCATGATTTACTTCCTTTCGTTGATGAAAGGATTTATTTTGATTTTTATTTAAAATATTTGTAAGAAATGATTTATTTCCAATTTTGTAAGAATATTCATAAAATTTTGTAGGACAGTTATGAGCTAAGGATAGTGATATAGAAACAATTTCTTATACCATTTTTTATATAACTTTTATATATTATTAAGTTAATGAATATACTCAATATTATAGGTCTCAAATAAATAAAAAAATTAATTATTTAAATTATATACAAAATTGTATAAAAAAATATTTAAAAATTATCTTTGAAATATTTTGCATTAGGGGTAAGATAGTAGCATGACAAGAATATTCACAAGATATCATTAATTTATTTTTTTCCAAAATAAGATATCTTAGTAAAATAATTTATGATAAAAGCATAAATTTTCAATAATCTCAAATTGCATTTGAGTTTGATGAAAATCATGATTGATTCCTAGGCCGAATTAGTAAATTCATAAAAGTCAAATTAGGCATTAAAAATCATGTATGATTTATTTATTTTTGTTGATGAAATGATTTAATTTCCCATTTTTGTTTAAAATATTCATAGAAATGATTTATATTTTTGTAGAAAGAATATTCATAAAATTTTATATGATAGCTATTAATTAAGATAGTAGCATGACATGCAGGAATATTCACAAGATATCATTAAATTTATTAAAAAAATAAGGGTTTGAAATTTAAATTCATATAA